AGACACATTGTTGTGACATTGGACTGAATTGAATGTTTATACATATTTCATTAATAATATTTTATGGTAAATGTAATAGATGTAGATGGTCTATTAACAAAGCTCCTACTCTGAACAAGTTCTAATAAAATTAGATAGAAACGGTGACCTATAGATAGTTTGAAAGGTTCTACAATAATTTGATTCAGTAAAATAGGTTGTTGTACAAGGCTAAATTTCAATAGTTTCTTATCACATAATTGTAAACGTTAAACAAATGATTTTTTTATATATGTACTTTTTTCTTGATTGTAAAACTGACTGCCAATTCAATGGAAATAAATTTCAAACTAATTGTTAGCCTTAAATCTATTCATTAACGTAAATATAATGAGCACTCAAAACTGCTTAAATACAAATGCAGCACTTTACTATCAATGTATGTTTTATCTTAAATGACCGAATTATTTCTCCGATCTGGACATGTATAAACTAATGCTTGTTACTGAGTATACATTTTAATTCGAACAGTAAATAAATAAGTATCTTACCTTATCATATTTGCCTTCCACTGTGTTTTAAAATGAAAACAATTATCATATAAAAAGAAAACAGACTTAAACCTGCTATTCAACAAAATAATATGAACAAGAGGCCAGCAATTTATTTGTATTAGTATTTATGTAAACAGAAGTACCATCATTAGTTTCTGGTTTGGGCTTATCAGATGGAAATGGGATATTAATTGCCCCCCATGCTGTGAATCAGCCACACTGACCACTTAATGTCTTTACGGTAATTCTGTAAATAACAGTACTGGCCAGATCAGTAGTGATCAGATTTTTGGGTCTATGGTCTCGTCTGTATTCACGATATATATATTCATTATCCGACCTTGTACGTTGATGTTTTGTTTCTCTATTATTCTTTTTACCCTCGTGAACCGTTCTTTATAGAGTTATAGAGTTCTTACAACGACAACAACAACAATAACATTCTTTAGATTCATGCACACACTAAATAAAATGTGTTTTGAATGATTTATAAACTAAATAGGCATGTATGCATATGTATAATGTATTTAGTATATAGATATATACATACAGCTGTACTTTTATTTCCTCCATATATGGAGAGCAAAACATATTTACATTTACATGTATATACATTGTCAAATTAATTATGCATAAACAACATACATTATTAGTTTATTACTTCTTTATATGATACATAAATACATATTTGGTATTAATTATTCAATTAAATATTTAGCGCATGTAAATAATTTAAATAATTTTTGGCATATTTTGAACATTTTAAGTGCACCAATTAATTGTTCTATAGAAGAGATTCTAGATCTTTGTACCTCAGAAAATTTCCTTTAAGTGAAAATCTCAGTTATTTGTGGTTGGTGTATATTACAATAATTTGTTATTCTAACAGATATATAGCAATCAGAAACATGTTATTCTAACAGATATATAGCAATCAGAAACATGTTATTCTAACAGATATAATTATATAGCAATCATAAACACACTTTTAAAACTATTTTAAAATGTTTGAAACCTACAAACTAAACATAGATTTTCTTGTAATGGTTTGAACAGTATACTTTACAGGAAAGTCAACTTTCATCCTGCGGATTTGATTTTATATGGATTAATCTTATAGGATCGAGGTAATAAATTATAGAAATCGTGTCGGTTATAGTGATTCCATACTTACATACATGACTAAATTATTCACATATATTTTACTCTGTAAATGACATTAAAGCCACGCGTATTGTGTTCATGTATTTTTTATGAATCATTTTTTCATATATGAATCTTGATTAATTGATATAGTAAGCCAGTAGAATAATAATACAACTAACATTTCGATTCTGGTTCTTCTCTTATAAAATCGTTCTTGTTTATAGCAAGTATTAAGTTAGACAATCAATATTTTATTAATGCATTGAATGAAACAGTAGAGAAAACATAAAGTACCATGTAATACGTGGTTTGTAACATTGTGCAGTGATCCAAATTTTTCTGCTATGGTAACGAAGGTTATATAAAAGTTAATTTACTGGAATTGTACAGCGATGATATAGATCTAGTTGATGTCTCTAGTGACTCAACGTTCTCGTTACTATCTCACTAACTAGTTGAATTATTTATTTACAATAGGTCAATGTAAACATAAAACTGCTTATACACTAGTCAACTCACATATTGATATTTTTCTAAATACTCTGTTTTCCTGCTTGTGTTTGTAAAATTGTACCGTAGACAATAGTTTACAAAGAAATTCCAAAAAAAGATCGATATCATTAGAACAGAAATTTCTGAGATATTTACTAAACATTTGCTAACTTAGAGTAATGATGTGGTACTCAAGTGAGTTTTTCATTGTCTAACAGTTTACAGCTACTTTATGTAATTAATTACAACAGTTAAATTAACAGACTTTATCAATAAGTTACAGTTTCATCGTACTTTGGAGGTATATGATATTATCTTATTTGCGAAGAAGTATTTGCTATACTTTGTTAATGTAATGTACATGTATATGTATATTTCACATCATTATACATTATTATATTATATTATCATTATACATTATATCTTCCTCATTGACCTACATCATATGCTGAACTAGCTAGTACACGATGGAATTCATCTTCAATATCATTTAACTGGCACACAGTACTTTTACGATAATTTCTGTTTACAATGTATGCTTCATTACATGTATTCAAATGTAAAGTCAGCTGAACAAGAAAGCATCAAACCATTTAGAGCATGAGTGTCCTTCCTATAGAGATCAAGTCAAGTCAAGTCAAGTCAAAAGATTTATTCAGCCCAAAATACATGTCATACAAAATATGATAGTTAACATTATAAGGTTGTGTCTTTTACAAGTTTTGATTCTCATTACATTTGAATACTACTGTGCTTTAGAGATCATGAGGTGGTAAATATAAGTAGAGATTTTCTTAATTATAAAATCATCATTTGATGAAAGTAATTCATAAAAGTTATGTAATTTAGTTCCGTAATTATACCAGTTTAGTAAATAGGTATTTCTTATTTCTAAATATTTTTTACAATGAAAAAAGCATAATATTCACAGTCAATGTGATAAGTTAAAAGATTTTCAAGACAAAAGTTGCAAAAGCGTTCTTGAAAAGGTATATTTAAATGCCTACCGATTTCAACATTATTTTTGTGATTTGAACATCGAAATTTAGCATATGCTAAAAATTATGCTTTCTTATGTTTTACAGGGATTTCTATTAGAAGATACCGTTCTACATTTAATAAGCTTTTAAAATAACAATAATGGTGACATCTACTTGCATTGTTAATATTATCATGCCAATTTTGAGTATAACAATCTATTATGCGTTGTTTAAAAATGCTAACAAAAATATTCACATCTCCTATTTCTTGAGAAATCGAAATGTAACCAAATCCGTAATAGTACAAAAGTATTCGTATTTTGCTAGTCCAACAAGTTCTTCCAGCTTCATCTAGTGATTTTAAAATTAAATAACATTGTTTTGGACAACGGCATGGTGTCATAACTAATATTTTACACCAATAACGGATGCAATTGGTATAATAAAAGTAATACAAAGTGGGAGTCTACCACATTCACCTAACACCATGCTTGTATTTGTATTTTTTCGAACATTTAATAAACCCTTACAGAACACATTATGAAAAAATTCTATAGTTGGACTAAATTCATACCCCCAAATCTGTGATCCATAACAAAGAATAGGTTTGATCATTGTATCATTGTATCTATCTACGATAGATCTATACTTTGAAATTAAAGATTAACCCCATTGCTAGATGATTACTCGATTTTAAGTGAAAAACTTGAAAGAAGGAACAGTCTGTAATTTTCCGGCATCTGATTGCTTTTATATCCTCCTTTATTTTTCCTACTTTATTTTATTATTATTATTTTTGTTGTTATTGAGTATCACGTCGCACCAACTTCCACCTTTACTAGTGGAGGAAGACCTCAGGTGCCCCACTGTGCATTGTTTCAGGCTCGAACGGGCACATAATTTAAGTAGAACCACCGACATTCTGTAAGCCAGATGAATATCTTCCTCACATGAAAGAATTCAAAGTCCCTGACAGGAATCGAACAGACAGTTTTTAGTTGCAAATGGTTGGAAGTCAACGACCCACAGATACCCCCTTTATCCTCTTAGATTGAAAAACAAAATGAAATTGAATTTCCTTCTTAATATCATATATTCTTTTAGATTATTTTTTTAATGTTTCAAAGTTTGCAAATTCCCGAAATATGGAAAAGTCATTGCTTAAATCTTGAAGATTTTGTGCAAAAATGAGATTTTTATTCCATTGAATTTGTCTCAAATTCCTCTACACGTGGATGTCAAAAAGTGTGTGTTATGACGTCATTGATAAAAATGCTCAGTAACATTATATCACGTGATTGCTGCTGGTTGTCTATCTCCCTCTATATAGTCCATTGAAAAAAGTACAGATAGGGCTGTATGTGATTACAAATATTGAAAGAAACGTATTGTAAACTCTTTTGCTCTCGTTTCTCTCAAAAATCGCAAACATACAAAGTCATGGAAACAATTAAATAATACAAAAGATATATATTTTCCAATTATTTACTTTTCAACAAACATCATGCTGGATGATCAAATTAACATTCCAATAAGAAAATTTAGCCTCCTTTTAGGTCCTAAGTCATCTAAAGAGACATAAAGATTATATCATTAACTTAATGACCTCATTGGGAAAATATGTGTTTATAGAATATATCGTCTATTTGTGACTTAATATACGGTGTCCCTAACTCTAGCCTGCATTTTCGTGTTACTCTTTATTTTTCTATAAATTAATCAAATGTTAGTAAGTAAATATATCTAAAAACGAGATTGTTTATTTCTTTTAAGTAAGTACGAATTCTTTTAACCGCCTAAAAGAATAATAACAATTTAGTACTTTACAGCCTAAAACTCCCGAGTGAATACGGAACGGTACGGTATTACGAATAGTAAATCATACGACGTGTGCTTTTTATGAGGGAAAAATACGCGCGAACCATCAAAAACAGATTTACTGACGCATATTTGTGTAGTTCTTTCTTCAGGTATAATACGCAGCTTGGCAACCACATAATATATTTGTATCCCTATTTATAGTGTTTATGGCTTTTCTAAAACTTTTATAACCTCTTTTTAATATTTTCATATGGTAACTGCATACACAGACACTGGGATATTTTTGCATAGTATTACGACCTGGTCACATGTCTTGAACATAAAACTTGTTTTCCGCTATTTTAACCACGTTTAAAAAGTATCTAAAATATCATAATTTCATAAAGATAACAACGTACGCTTTCCTTTGATGTGAGACGAATGGAATGAGTTTCGGCACTGTTTTGTGCTGTCATTTTCATGCCGAGAACCAAATCCCCGCAGCGGTTACTTCCCCTAATCAGTACAGAAATCAAATCAAGAAGACTGATGAAAAGGGCCGAGTAGTTCCGATTGAATTTCTTTTTCCCAGCTATTTTCCCGCTGTAATTTACGGAAAAAACATTCCAGTCGTCGTGAATTCGTAAAGAAGCATGTGACAAGGTTAGGAAAATGTAATTAAATGTGGAAAGCTTGGAAGAAAGGTACGATCTGATAATAACATGCATTTATTTATTAAAGGAATATATGCATAGACTGATTTACACCAGAAATAAATGGCATGCGATTGCATAAATACCTGAAATATATGTAGGTCAGTTGTGTTTACATTTCGAAGCTTGGTATTTTCAGGAAATTGAAGCGTTGGTAAAAAATTGACTTTTTTAAAATGTTATGAAATTCTATTCAAACTTGTTCACGTGTTAGACACTTAACCGTCTCATACTAATATAAGCACAAATTTAAAACTAATTCTTGTAATAAACAATACTTTTAGTTTTTAATATTCAGGGGCGGAGAAGGGCGGGGTCAATACACCAAGTGTCTGTGACTGCATACGGTGACAGTGAGACACTTTGGGTGTGGAACTGCTAACGCCTTTAAATCCAATAAAATGTGTATTTATCAATCCCAACACTTACACTGATCATATATTTCCATAAATGTAATATATGCTGTTCTGAAGAAAAATATACAACATATTTCAATGTCTGATAATTCCTAAGAAACAAAGAATAAGACTGAAAGACACCCTTGTGGCTGAGGGGTAAGGCTCCCACGTTAACAATTTTTTTGTAAACGTTTACACGACTGCTAAGAACCGAAATGATACCGTTTAAACGGTGGTACCTCTATGTTCTATACACACCATGTATTTGAGTCGCCAAATGATGTCTTTCTTTCTATTTTTAATACATGTACAAATAAAGAATGTGCAAGGGTCATCACGATTGAGTCAGCACACATTTTTTGCATTGTAACCCCATTTTTTACCAAATATGTATTATGTCACGAGCAATTTTGCACGGTAATGCTGTGTGGAGGGTTGTAAACACCCATTTTCCATTTCTTTACTTTGGAATAAACCACTAGAATTGATAAAATCCATGATTACAGGCAATGATTAAGACATTTTTTAAGACAATATGGTCATTTCGATTAAACGGTTTTCCAATATCGTAAACGTTTATGAATAAAAATCGAAACGAATCCGTTTAAACGTGTAATCGTGGGGGCCTTACTGAGGGGTTGTCATTAAGGATTGAGGCATCAGAATTGCAGCCACTGTTTATCCCTGCTTAATAGTGAGAAGCCACTAAATAGGTACGAATCCGCATCTCTTAACCAGAGATCTGCCTTGGACCCGAATTTGCATCATTGGCATTAAAAAAAATGAGAATGGTGCAGGAAAATTTGCAGCAAAGGGCCATGAGTGCATCTTAAATCTGCAAAAATAAAACCCGACCTTTAGGTTATTTTGTCATGATGTCATCCAGTCAAAACCATAGTGAATAACTGGGTTTTATACGGGTGTCTCAAATCCCTCTTTAGTGGAAGTTTTGGAGTCATTTACTCCCGAATTTGGCTTGTGACTTCATAAAATATAATGATTTTCTTTCTTTACCTATATAATGCAAATTCCAATGTCAGGCATTTTCAGTCGCTGTCTTCCAAATTTTGAAACGTACTGGAAGCCCTGTTTTATGATAACATGGTGTCGATACAAAAACAAGTTATTTTCTTAAATTTCTATCAGAGCATTAAAATTACAAAAAACAGTATTTCAACACCTCCTGTCCCTAAATTTACAGTTGATAAGCCAATTAATGCTCCAATGTCAGGATATGAAACATGCAGTAAATGGGGCCAAGTAAATGTTTTTCTAAAAAATTACAATTGTCATATTTGAAACATTCACAATATTTAAATGTTCTTTGAGTATTGTGTATTCATAAATTGAAACAAAAAAAATCAAGTTGGTCACTGTTGTTGCAATGAAATTGAATACAAATAAATAGTGTTTGACACTAACGTGATTCTCTTCCGGATGGGCCTTGTGTCTGTAATCGACAGAGATTAAATCATTCAACTGATGAAGTTAAACTGATAAGGCAGTACTTACAAACCACTAACCGTGACATTTTGGGTTACAAACTACCAGATTTGCATGCATCCACTGGGACAAACATAGACTAGTTTGACACCATGCATCTGATGTGGGTGGCACATCTAGATTAATCACTGTGTTCCATGAAGTCTGTTCCTATAGTTGTATAGCAATTTAACTTTTGAAAGTTTTTTACAACTTAATTTGAAGATTTTGGCACATCTATTCTATACTTGAATTTTTGGGGATTATCATGATACGGTATTCAGTAATTATCTATTTCAAAAGTAGATATATTGTAATGGTTTATCTTTTATTAGAAGATGTTTTAATTCATTGTATTTTTTTCAGGTAAAGATGGAATCAACTGACCTTGATATGGGTGAAATATTTGATGATAATGATATAGATGAGGATATTGGTGCCACTGGGGTTTTACCTGACCTTGAACCTACACAATCACAGGACAATGACGAAGATGGTAAGATGCAAGATGCTTGTAAAGAATTAGATATATGTTATACCATAAATCTGAATAATAGCAGTAATATTAACACAATAAACCTACCAGTGACTGTGTAGTTTTGTTCTGTTTACATTTCAGTGTTTTGACATTAAGAGATAAACTCAGTTCAAAGTAAATATAAGTATAACATACATGTAGCTACAACTTGTTCAGTATCATTACTTAATCATTATACCATAACTTCTGCATCACTTAAAAAATTGCACTCTTCCACTTGTATTACAAGTAGAATCTTGTGCAGGGGGAGTAGGAAATGCAGCTGCTTTTCCAAAAGTGTAAAATCTACAAAGTAGAAGACATGAGCTAGAATGAAATTATTTACCATATAGTATGTTTACATTTCACAAAGGAAAACAAGAAGCAAAGCTGATGTTTGGAGATATGTATAAAATGTACACTATAAACCACTGACAGGCAGGTCCAAAATCACACTTCCATCATTAAGTACAGTTAACATTTTACCTTCAAATATCTGCTTGATTTCAGGTTTTGCTCTGTTGATGTAAACATGAATGTAAGCCATGTAGTGTTACTTATAAAATGCTCTATATTTATAGCCGTGTAACAATGGAGGTTACACCTAGTTGATTGGGTTTTTTTATTTCAGAGAATGCTGAAGTATTGGCCAGATTGAAAGATCTGTCAAAAGGTGCAGCCAAGAAAATAGTGAGGAAACCTCAACCTAAATTAGACCCAACAAGGTAAATTTTACAGCAAAATAAAACTTATTTTATTGATTACTTTTATGCCCCAGAAAATGTTGAGGCATATAGATGTTGTAGCGTTTGTCTGTCCTTTTGTCTGAACTTTGTCTGGTCCATAACTTTGCCATTTATGGATGAATTTTCAGATCATTTTGTATAAATGTGTGACACACAAGAATTGGGTCCCTAGCTTAAAATTTAAGGTCACACTTTCAGATCAAGACATAATTTTTTTTTGCAAAGTGCACTGATGTACATGTCTTACATTTATTCATTTTGCTTCTCTATTTTCACTGTTAACATTTATTACTATTCTATTTTCACTGTTTACAGTTAATATTGCTACACTATTTTCACAGTTTACTGTTATGACTACTTTATTTTCACATTTTACAGTTATTGTTACTTTTTTACCGTTAACTGTTGTTCCTACTCTATTTTCACTGTTATAGTTATTGTTACTTTATTCTCAAGGATTATTGCTATTCTATTTTCACTGTTTACAGTTATTGCTACTCTATTTTCACTGTTTACATTTATAACTATTCTATTTTCACTGTCGACAGTTATTGCTACTCTATTTTCACTGTTTACTGTTATAGCTACTCTATTTTCACTGTTTACAGTTATTGTTACACCTTTTCACTGTTAACTGTTATTGTTACTCTATTTTCACTGTAACAGTTATTATAGCTCTTTATTTTCACTGTTTTCTGTTATTGTTACTCTATTTTCACTGTAACTGTTATTGCTACTTATTCACTGTTTACATTTATTGCTATACTATTTTCACAGTACAGTTATTGTAACTTTATTGTCACTGTTACTCTATTTTCACTGTAATTGTTATTACTACTCTATTTTCACTGTTCACAAGTACTGCTACTTTATTTTCACTGGTAACAGTTATTGTTACCCTGTTTTCACTGTTTACAGGTATTGTTACTCTATTTTCACAGTTTACATTTATTCGATTATTGTTGCTCTATTTACACCATTTACAGTTATTGCTACTCTATTTTTCACCGTTTACAATTATTGCTTCTCTATTTTCACTGTTAATGTTATTCTTTTCACCATTTACATAAATTGCTACTCTATGTTCACTGTTTTTAATTATTGATTCTCTATTTTCACTTTTAACTGTTATTGTTATTCTCTTCACTGTTAACATTAATTGCTACTCTATTTTCACTGTTTACTATTATTGCTACTCTATTTTCACTGTTTACTGTTGTTGTTACTCTATTTTTTGACTGTTTACAATTATTGCTATTCTATTTTCACTGTTAACTGTAATTGTTATTCTCTTCACTGTTTACATTAATTGCTACTCTATTTTCACTGTTTACAGTTCTTGCTACTCTATTTTCACTGTTTACATTAATTGCTTCTCTATTTTCACAGACTGACTGGAGAAAGAGGAATACCAATCTTACCTAACTTATTTAAAGATGTAAAATTCAAGGGGAAAGGGCATGAAGTAAGTTTTGTGATAAGTTCATATACAGTCTCCACTGAAATGTATGGTCTGTACATGTTATAATGTTCTATGCTACATGTAAATTATTGTAACCATATCATCTATTATTCAGATGTTCTAATGATCACAAGTTGAATCTTAAAGTAGCTACTCGAGTATGTAACATTGATTTAAACAAGATACACAAAATACACTACAAAAATATAGTGATCTGAAGCATGTCTATGTTACATGATACATTCAAGACAAAATTGTTAAGTTTCTAGGATTAGATTCAGTATGTTACATAACAAATTATCACCTTTATTGCCTATTTGTTTTAATTTAAATCGGCCTTTGAATGTAATTTGTGAAAACACAAATTTATACAGTGTATCACTCCAATGAACTTGGTTTATTTGTATTTAATTATTTAACTGTATGTATTGACAATAGTTTCTGGTTTATAGTCACATGACCTGGCCGTGTTGATGAAGAAGATGGAACATTGGGCACATCGTTTATTTCCCAAGATGCCGTTTGACGAGGTCGTAGAACGAGTCGAGAGATTAGGCAGTAAGAAGGAAGTACAGACTTGTATAAAGAAAATAAGATTAGATATGCCGATATTAACGGAGGATTTTGTTGGCTCTGACCAGGATAATGATGACGATGATGTAGTCAGACGTGGTGATGATGATGTAGTTAGACATAGTGATGATGAACCAGGGACCAGTGCTCAGGTTTGTTGTCATACTTTATTAGTAAATTTGTTAGCAAATGATTTAAGAAGTATAGTTACTGTTACTGAAAGTTTAACTGTTCAGACAATAAATTGTAAATCTTAGTCTTAAATAGTCTTAAATATGGAAAACACATTTAATTACAGCTCAGAACATTTATTAGAAGTATGTTTGGCTTTTATTTGTCACTCTTATCAAAAGTTCTTCTCACTGTTGTCAATTAGATATTTAGGAAACTAAGGGGATCATTGTATTCATCAGTTTTGTAGCCTAACGGTGGTGGGAAGTTGTGATTTCTGTACAGGGTGAAGTAAGTGATAATATATATTTCTGTACAGGTTGAAGTAAGTGATAATATATATTTCTGTACAGGTTGAAGTAAGTGATAATATATATTTCTGTACAGGATGAAGTAAGTTATAATATATATTTCTGTACAGGGTGAAGTAAATTATAATATATATTTCTGTACAGGGTGAAGTTAGTTATAATATATATTTCTGTACAGGATGAAGTAAGTTATAATATATATTTCTGTACAGGATGAAGTAAGTTATGATATATATTTATGTACAGGGTGAATACAGGGTGAAGTAAGTTATAATATATATTTCTGTACAGGATGAAGTAAGTTATAATATATATTTCTGTACAGGGTGAAGTAAGTTGTAATATATATTTCTGTACAGGGTGAAGTAAGTTATAATATACATTTCTGTACAGGGTGAATACAGGGTGAAGTAAGTTATAATATATATTTCTTTACAGGATGAAGTAAGTTATAATATATATTTCTGTACAGGGTGAAGTAAGTTATAATATATATTTTCTGTACAGGGTGAAGTAAGTTATAATATATATTTCTGTACAGGATAAAGTAAGTTATAATATATATTTCTGTACAGGGTGAAGTAAGTTATAATATATATTTCTGTACAGGATGAAGTAAGTTATAATATATACTTCTGTACAGGGTGAAGTAAGTTATAATGTATACTTCTGTACAGGGTGAAATAAGTTACAATGTATACTTCTGTAAAGGGTGAAGTAAGTTATAATATATACTTCTGTACAGGGTGAAGTAAGTTGTAATATATATTTCTGTACAGGGTGAAGTAAGTTATAATATATATTTCTGTACAGGATGAATACAGGGTGAAGTAAGTTATAATATATATTTCTGTACAGGATGAAGTAAGTTATAATATATATTTATGTACAGGGTGAAGTAAGTTATAATATATATTTCTGTACAGGGTGAAGTAAGTTATAATACTTGTATATATTTCTGTACAGGGTGAAGTACGTTATAATATATATTTCTGTACAGGGTGAAGTAAGTTATAATATATATTTCTGTACAGGATGAAGTAAGTTATAATATATACTTCTGTACAGGGTGAAGTAAGTTATAATGTATACTTCTGTACAGGGTGAAATAAGTTACAATGTATACTTCTGTACAGGGTGAAGTAAGTTATAATATATACTTCTGTACAGGGTGAAATAAGTTATAATGTATTTTCCTGTACAGGGTGAAGTAAGTTATAATATATACTTCTGTACAGGGTGAAATAAGTTATAATGTATACTTCTGTACAGGGTGAAGTAAGTTATAATATATATTTCTGTATAGGGTGAAGTAAGTTATAATGTATATTCCTGTACAGGGTGAAGTAAGTTATAATATATATTTCTGTACAGGGTGAAGTAAGTTATAATGTATATTCGTGTACAGGGTGAAGTAAGTTATAATATATATTTCTGTACAGGGTGAAATAAGTTATAATATATATTTCTGTACAGGGTGAAGTAAGTTATAATATATATTTCTGTACAGGGTGAAGTAAGTTATAATATATATTTCTGTACAGGGTGAAGTAAGTTATATATATTTCTGTACAGGGTGAAGTAAGTGATAATATATATTTCTGTACAGGGTGAAGTAAGTGATAATATATATTTCTGTACAGGGTGAAGTAAGTTATATATATTTCTGTACAGGGTGAAGTAAGTGATAATATATATTTCTGTACAGGGTGAAGTAAGTTATATATATTTCTGTACAGGATGAAGTAAGTTATAATGTATACTTCTGTACAGGGTGAAGTAAGTTATAATATATATTTCTGTATAGGATGAAGTAAGTTATAATGTATATTCCTGTACAGGGTGAAGTAAGTTATAATATATATTTCTGTACAGGGTGAAGTACGAGCTGAGGACATGTGGGACGAGTTACTGAAAGAGGAAGCTGAGATATCAGAGTCCCAGATGGAGACATTACCCAGCAATACTGCACACACAACTTCTTCACAAGCTGATTATATTGCCACAAAAATCCCAACTACACCTGTACATAATGTAGAGAAAACAAAACCTGATGTATGTATAAGAAATTTAGGCAAAAATTAACTATGAGTTGAATAAACAAATTGAACCACATTGTCTTTCAATAAAACCTATCCAGTAGACTTTACAAAAATAAAGCTTTATATTGGTCCCTGGTACTTGTCCCTAGTACATTTTAGCTTTCTCCTGGTCCAAAGTCACCACTAAGTTGTACAGTAATAAAGGGGTGCTAAACATATATTGCCCTAGTTTTAAACTAAGTATCAGACCAAGTGAAAAAATGTTTTCTGTTCCTATATTTTAGATAGATACTGTTAAAAACATAACAGAGGGTAATTGTTATTCAGTTATGGAATTTAAATTTATCCATATAAAAAGAATAAAGAAGGTTCTAGCTTTATAATATATATATGTGTGTGTGCAATTTAAGAAGTTAGGAGATATGTTATATCTAATAACAACCATTATATATTGTAGGGTATGACTCCAGAAATGTTGGAGAGAATTGAGAGGAATAAACAACTGGCTTTAGAAAAACGACTTAAGAAAATGGGTCATCTCACCCCAGGTAATATATGATAACATCTGTTTTTGTGGTCTGCACTGTTTGCAGTTGGTATATATATTGAAATTTTCCTTAAAAATGATGAATGGTTTTGTCCAGCTGGGCGTGTCCATTTAATATGATAAGGGTTAGATAATTAATAACTGTAAATCTTACAATCTACTTACATTTTTTAAAATTTAGAATAGCTAGTGGTGGGTTGGTAATTAATATTGGCAAGGTTTATTTCCTGAATGATGTAAAATATCGATTTTCTCTATTATAGCATATGATAAAAATGCCATTGTGTATAACATTCATTGTTACTGTCTTAAACTTTGAGATTTTACGGATGTTTTTGTTTTATTCAGGTTCTAAATTGGGAAGTTCCCAATTATCTTCCCAGACACCTACAAAGATGACAACTGTAAACAATCTTACACCAAGTCCTGCACAAGATAAACAAACTGATGTAGATAATAGTAAAAATATCACCACAGCTGACTCTGTAAAGACAGAACAAGTTTCCAAGGTTACAACCGGAGATATCAACACTGAACTATCTGCTGCTGCTGATGATGATAATGAGATGTCAGAAGTTATAGAGAAAGGTCCGAGTCAGAATATAAGTGTAAAGGGAGGGATGAAAGAGGATGCTCAACATTGGCATACAGGTGCCCCAGTACAGTCAAACTCTGGTATACAGCTAGACACCGAGAACATGGACACTGAAAATACTGAGATAATTGATGATTGTAGTAATTCTGTTCAAATATCTGATCAAAATGCTGATAAATGCTTGCAGAGATTGAGCCAAAATTCTACTGACTCACAAGCTATGTCAGAGATTATTGAACCAGTAGAAAATGAGACAATTGTTCTGAAGGAAAAACCCAACAATATAACAAGTGGGAAAACAGACAGTAAACAAATGAGTGTTACAAATGAGAAATTAGATGTGACAATGTCTGTAGATAAGTTAAATACTGACAGTAAGATAGATAAAGAGAATAAAATAAAAGATCAAGTAGATATGACAGGTGATCATTGTAACATGGATCACTTTTGAGGAGGATGATCTGACAGAAGAACAATTAATGGATACATTGGAAAATTGACAATTCTTGTATGTTTTAAAATGACTAGTATTTTATTTCTTTTAGATAAATATTTAAAATAAAAATACATTTATAAACAACTGTTGGTCACTCTATTTCATTATGTTCAGGTATTGAAAATCCATAATAGACACATTCAGATTCAACAGAGTGTAAGTTCATCATGTAAATTTAATTAAATGCCAATTCCGCCGAAACTCTGCTTTTGGTATCTAGTTTCAGTTTCCAAAAAGTTACTCATTGGCCATATAGATCAACTATCTTTTGCTTATTTTGCTCTTTGGCAATTGGTATAATTAATGTTTTCGTATTTTGTATGGAGGTCAAAATACAACTTTGTTAACATTTTGCTAGCCTACATTTGTGACACATTATTGCATGTTCAGCTGTCCTTCAGTTGTTCAGTAATTAACTTGTCTAGATCAATCGTTAAATAATTATTAAACATATGTTGACCTTCCTATAGAATTAATATTACCTGGGCTTAATAGTTAAGACTCAGATTTTTATTTCAGAAGAGTTCATGTAAGTTATTCAAATTTTACAATAACAAAAATATACAGTAATTTCTTTATTGTCAGAGAGATTTATTACACAAGAGTAAAAACAGATTGTATGAACAAAGTAGTTACACTAGACTTATTATGCACCTTGTCTCATCAGAAATTGTAACAATAATAAAATTATAACAAGATGATAGACATTTTAAAATCCAGAAAATGTGGCATCAACAATCTTCTGTCTGTACTATATCTTCCTTGTAAAGATTAGAGATATGATAGAAATATTGTATATAAAAACAATAATAAATTTGAACACAGGCTACATTTATGATAACAACATTGAAATCTTGGCTACATGTATACAATAATCATGGAGATTTTCTTGGACAATTGATGTAGTTGGTGAATAAAACATGTGAAGTTCTATATAAAATAGTATACTTCTAGCAATAACAACTCTACAAACAGTTAATTTATTGGGCACATTCATTTTGACCAAACTCCTCTAAAATAAAAACACAGAAGTCCATCTCAAAATTTAGCAAGGTAACCAATACATACAGATATACATGTACTTTGCCATTGACATGGAAATAATGTTTGATCAATATCAGGCTACAATAACAATGTATACAATACAAAAATATAAATCATTTAAGACATATATAAATATACATATTTGGAATAGATGAACATAAAATAAATAGATTTACCATAAGGTTACATATAGCCATTTAACATGTAGACAAGTATTGTAAGTAATTGTCTTAAAGTATTCATAACAAAATGTCGCTACTTTAATCACTGAAACATAATATGAAGGCTATTAGAGTGATTTCAAACATTGAAAATATTACTTTAATATAAATAAGTAACAAAAATATGACTTAATGTGAAAGGTCAACAATTCAAATTAAAGCAAGCAAATGCCAGTTAATTATCTTTTCTCATCTAAAAGACACAGATCATCAAATATCGGTATAGACTACTGGACAAAAATGAGCAGTTAGTATTGATATTCAACAGGTAATAAAATTGAATAAGCTTATATTAAACTAAAGGATGCTTTTGTAAAAAAGCGCATGTCTCCCCCACTGCTGAGAATAACTGTGAATGGAAACAGGAATGGAAATGGAGATAAAAGAACAGAGTATATAAAACCAGACAACTGATATATCACTGATATATCAATAATAGTTAAATGTCCTCACTGATAAGAACTCTAGTTATCATCCGGAAATGAGAAAATGACCAATGGTCACTGTGACCTTAACCTTTGACCTACTGACCCCATAAACAAGAGGGATCATCTGCTCAATAAGACCAATCATCCTATGAAGTTTGAGGGTTGTAGGTCTAAAGGAACTCTAGTTATCATCCGGAAAGGAGAAATTAACCAACGGTCGCTGTGACCTTGACCTTTGACCTACTGACCATTAAAACAATAGGGATCATTTGATTAATAAGACCAATCATCCTATGAAGTTTGAGGGTTGTAGGTCAAAAGGAACTCTAGTTATCATCCGGAAATGAGAAATTGACCAACGGTCACTGTGACCTTGACCTTTGACCTACTGACCCCAAAAACAATAGGGATCATCTGCTCTATAAGACCAATCATCCTATGAAGTTTGAGGGCTGTAGGTCAAAAGGAACTCTAGTTATCATCCGGAAACGAGAAATTGACCAACGGTCAGTGTGACCTTGACCTTTGACCTACTGACCCCAAAAACAATAGGGATCATCAGCTCTATAAGACCAATCATCCTATGAAGTTTGAGGGCTGTAGGTCAAAAGGAACTCTAGTTATCATCCGGAAACAAGAAATTGACCAACGGTCACTGTGACCTTGACCTTTGAACTACTGACCCCAAAAACAATAGGGATCATCTGCTCAATAAGACCATTCATCCTATGAAGTTTGAGAGCTGTAGGTCAAAAGGAACTCTAGTTATCGTCCGGAAACGAAGAATGGACGGACGGACTGACGGACTGACGGACGGACGGACTGACGGACGGACTGACGGACGGACAGGGCAAAAACAATATGTCTCCCCCCGAGGTGGGGGAGACATAATTATTAACTTCTGGTTAATAATTACAAGCCTAAAAATGCCAATGTTACAAACCTATCATTTAAACACTTATGTTTACTCTGCCCTGATTTTAACAACAATTTATAATATTTCAACAAACTTAAGTAGAAATAAATTTATTACATTTACCTAGCTATTCTAGGCATTTTTCTTCAGTTATTACAGAGTTTATTTTAGTTTTATTGTGTAGAGAGCTATATGATCCAATTGCAGAAAAACAAATATGTTATAAATAATGTAGGAATATCCTTGAATAAAATATCATGTTTAAAACATTAAATGATAAATGCATGGAACCAACTATTCACACTTAGTGTAGGAATATATTGTAAGGTAGACTAGAGAGATTAGATGAGTATCATGATTGTTGAGACCATGTGACTTGTACTGTAGTCAGAAAGTCGGCAGCTCGTTTACTGATGTTTAATGCAGCATGCATCGGCTGTAGACCCTCTTCACCCATCAATGATAGACCACATACACCAAAATATGCATGAAGAGCATCTGTAATTAGATATACACGATAACAAGTACACAATATAAACTTAAGTTATTCAGCTTTGTGCTATGATAGTGATAAACTTGAATTATCACTGTGAAAAGAAACAGCACAAAAAACCAATGTAGGAGTGACTATAGCTGCTTAAGACATTTAATTCTTTCCGGTTAGCCTCAAACTTAATTGTTTACCTACTTTTCATATACACATCCTTTGTTTTTCCAGATATATGACATGTTTAAATGAACAGTTAAATAAATGCTATTGAAGACAGTATTTGCAAAAAAGACTCAGAAATTTACAAATTTAAGTGTTCTTATTGGACTGAAAGTAGGACAGACTGTCAAACTGTATAGAGTCTCTGTTAAAGAATGGTCAAAATGTATAGAAAACTTGTCACTTGTACAACACAAGAAAAACGTGTAATTTTGAAGGAAAAAAAAAGAGTCATCTTAATAACAAAATTGTCACTTTGAGAAAACCAATTGTTAACAAATGTCTTACCAGGATTATGACTTGGCCACTTTGAGAAACCCCCTGTAAGTTCTTGCTGGGTATCCATTAGAAATGCACGATTAAATTGACAATTAACAAACTTATAACTGTCCAGTAACTGTAAATAGATGTAAATCATTAGTAACACAAGAAGTATATAAACATATCACTTTAGTTGTAAAAATGATAAGCACCAAGTTTTTAATATTCAAGTGGGGAAAATATTGTAAAACTGCAAAATTTGGGAGAAAAGATTGACAAATAAATTGAATTTAAATAAACAAACTGAACTTTGGTGAAAAGATAAAACATACTACATTGACCTAAGTAAAGTAATGGAGAGTCATAATCAAATCTCAATTGTGACAAAAAAAATGGAAGACGATTTTCTTTTTCAATATATTTAACCATAACGACTACAGAATCTGCCCATGCAACAAGTAAATACCAACATCTAATGTCTATTTAAGAGAGTTGTAAGGATTAAAGAGCAAAACTTAAAGTATGTTGCAATAAATTTTCTACAAAAACTATCCAAAGCAGCATATCTATTTGCATAGAACCTAATTCCCTAGATTTTAATAAATTACTTGTGCTGAAGGAATCACAGAAAAACACCACATCTATTATATAACAGCAATCTACTAAGCAAACCTAAACCCAAATCACAAAAATACTTGAACAATTATGACTTAAGACCTGTGATTTAAATACAAAATTGAAGTAATGCCTTAAGTGCTTCCATTTTTCTTTTATCACCTTTTAAGGTAACATATTGAGAAAGGAAAATTACCTTTAAGGTAGCACCAACCCAGAAAGAGTAACACGTATCAACTGGTTTGTTTGGACGACCCTGAAATCCTGATTGTTGTCGGAATATACACCAACTCTTTAAATGTTTCACATGTTTCTCACTTAATACAGTATTTAATTTATTCATAAGTACAAGAGATGCCACTCCACAGAATGTTGATCCACCTGTTGACAAATACATGACTAGTTTAATCTGAGTATAAGACCTTGATTATATGAACAATTTAACACAATTCTGCCATATTTTATGTACACATTTCTTGATCATTTATAAATAGTAACAATTCAGATCATATTGAATATTTAGATCACTTTGTTGGTGCTTTATATTGTTTATTTATATTACATTTTATGAAGTGAATTGTTATTTTGTTGTTGTTTTTTTGTGTGTAAATCTTAGACGGGTTAGACATCAATAATTATCCCCGTACTGCCTCTTTCCGATCAGCTAACAGATTTTTCTATAATAACTGACAGTGAAATTATAAAAATAAAATTTCTCTTACAATTCTGCAAATATTATCATTTCAGCTAATAAATGCAACAACTTTTTAAAATTTTACCTGAATTATTATTATGAATCGAGGACAAATCATTACTGACCCATTTTCTTGTTCTTCAAAATTTCAGAACCACTTTTCAATCAGTTAACAAAATATAAACTGTACCACATAAAAATTGTCATACAATGTTAAAATATAACCAGTTATGTATTTTGAAGAAATTTTGACAAACTCAACTTCAGATAAATGGTAATAAACAATTTTAACCTATTTATAATGCCATTTTTCAATCTTGATATCTATTTGCAGTAGTAAAGCTGTCACAATTGGGGTATGGATGTACATCTCAATGTGCATTACAGAAAAAGCCTGTTCTTGTGAAATTTTTAAGATCTTAGGGTCTATATGACCCCATTCTAGTGAAAGCTTACTGAAAAGTTATCAGAGAGAATGTTTTTCCTTGGTTAAGTGACTGTTACTTTACTGACATATTACATTCCAATTAAGAATTGTATGGTTAAATATGTACATATTAAAATTATAGCTTTTGAAGTGCAGTATACATTATGACTTAATGACATTGAAACAGTTGTCAAACTAAATATTCATTTCTGCAGACTGACAAAAAACTGAGTCTTTAAATCAATTATTTTTCGAAAATTATTGCGATTTGTAACTGGGTAAATAAAGGATTAGTGGAAAACACACATTTTACATATTTTGAACTAAAATACTGGTATTTTCTTTTTTATTGCCATAATTGACATTGCTGCTGATAAATGTAGTCAAGGTAAATGCAAGATGTGCTTACAATTTGGTTACATGACAAATCAGGTAAAAAATAAAGAATTTCTAGGGATGATTGAAAAGTGGTTGTGATTGAAAACTGGCAGTATGTGGATAATTTAAAAAATCACATAATATGTTTCATCTATACAATTATTATATTTATTTATTGTTTATTAGAGTCTCATCTATACATGTAAACAACTAAACATATAATTAAAAATATACAATACAAACATAAAATACTAAAATAGAATTACAGGTTTTTACTTCTAAGGGGGACAACTCTCCATTTTTTTTACAGGAGTATTTTATGCACTGCAGATTTGTCTCCCTTAGCTACACAACAAGATATATTTGTATTTCCCTTTTATATACATTTGATACAAGTAAAATAACTAAAAGTATCCTTGCTAATCCAACTAAAACTTCAGATGTATAAGGATTGAAATATAAAAAAATTCCAAAATGTTCCACAGTCTAAAGCATGGGTGTAATCATTGATCAGATCAGATCAGAGCACATACATGTTTGTCACAGTCAATGTAAAAAAAAAATATTTAAAAGAAAATTTGTAATCACCTTTAAGTATGATAATGAGTATATGTACAATATTAAAATAGTAAATGGTGGTGTATAAAACATAACAAGAATAATACACACATTTAGGTTGAAAGTATGATAAAATAACATACCATGTGCCTCGAGATAAGGTCCTTGCCCTATACCTCCCTCGTATGACTAAATATAGAAAAATATTTTATTTAAATATTGTTATATACAAACATTAATCATTTATATTTTCCCTAGACAATTATATGTTATTTTGGACAAATAAACTTTGCTGCCCTATTTCCTATTTACAACATTTTCTTATTTCTATTGTAACTACTGCATAAGTGGATATTTATGTGTCACAAAAAATTTGCGAATGTCAAAAAGTGGATTTTTTGTGTGCAGAAATATTTGCGAAAATATGATTTCTTGAATTTAATGCTGCTTTTGTGATATTTATTAAGCAGGTACAAGTCAAGAATATGCCATTATTGTAATCATTCTATTTCAATTCAATTCATAATTTCAATTCGCAAAAATCGCAAATATTTCCATGTCACAAAATTAAGCACTTATACAGTTACAGTATATACATCATCTGATATTGTATCATAAACTGTGATTTAATCTACATTTTCAATCCGGGAGATACACATGCACTTTTGTAGAATAAAAATCAAAACAAAGTTTTACATGTTGAATATCATGACATAATTATACTTAACAAAGTGAAAATTAACAAAACTATGGCAGAGTCATTCTGAGTGGTTATGAACAACTGAAACATTTGTGTACCTGTGATTAATCTTATATACTGTAGTTACTAATACATGTATAGCTAAACAAATTTTAACATATAATACATCATATATTGCCCTGAATAAACTGCATGTTTTAGTAAAAAAAAATGGGTCAAAGACAGAAAAGGCCAGGTTGCATTTGTATACCAAATATGATGAGGCTGTGATGTTACTAAAATTTTCTACCATGGCCATTGATGTTGTAAATTTAACTAAGTCGGCAAACAGGATGTGGATGAGCGACAGACCTGAAATCAGATCCCAGGGTATGGGACCACATGTTGATGCTATATACCAAATATCAAAAGGCTGTGGTAAGTAGTTGCTGAGAAAACTGTTACGAAAAGTTTTTCCCCGCACGCCACCAAACATTCACCATACTTAACCCGGTTTGCACCTGTGTAACCTGGCCAAAAAATAATGTTGTATATTGCATTACTTTAAATTTAAGTGTAATAAGATATGATATATAAGTTTATACCACACTGTTTTTGATATACTGAGTGTAATAAGATATGATATATAAGTTTATACCACACTGTTTTTGATACACTGAGTGTAATAAGATATGATATATAAGTTTATACCACACTGTTTTTGATATACTGAGTGTAATAAGATATGATATATAAGTTTATACCACACTGTTTTTGATATACTGAGTGTAATAAGATATGATATATAAGTTTATACCACACTGTTTTTGATATACTGAGTGTAATAAGATATGATATATAAGTTTATACCACACTGTTTTTGATATACTGAGTGTAATAAGATATATATAAGTTTATACCACACTGTTTTTGATATACTGAGTGTAATAAGATATGATATATAAGTTTATACCACACTGTTTTTGATATACTGAGTGTAATAAGATATGATATATAAGTTTATACCACACTGTTTTTGATATACTGAGCAGCTCTATCAACATCCATACCACTCCAGTCATTTAACATATAACATATACATGAGGCGCAGTAAACAAAACGCATGTCATCTTCTGAAGGTTCACACACTGGACGAAAACTGAAATACAGATAAATATATCTCTTTGTTAAGATGTAAATTATCTACCGATCATTAAAAACCAAATAAAGAAAAAAATATCTCACTTCTTTGAAGAAGAAAAAAACGCCAAATTTTGACAAAGCAAATTTAAATGATTCATTAGTGGACCAGAAAATTTATGCATCCGAACATTTGAGGGCACCAGTTCTATGCTTGAAATCCATAAATCAATGGATGAGGGGTGGGGCACAGAAAGATTATTAATGTACTACATGTACATATATAAAGAAGGGCAATAATTCTACTAAATTAAATCACAGAACTATGCTCCAAGGCACTTGATGACAAAAGTTCTGTGGGAATTTAACAAACTTCCTTAAGAACTGTCAGAATTTCACACAGAGTGTCATCTATATATTACATAGGTGAGAAAAACGACAACAAAATAAAACAGTGTCATACATGCAATTTTGACTAAAATAAAGGTTGTAAAAACGAGGACAATATTCTCCATGGTTAATGATGTCAAAAGTTTTCTGAAAGATTGAGCGCAATCTATTAACCAACTTGTTTGCAGGAAAACCAGTACAAAAGAAGAACTTGTGTATAGTCTTGAAATAGTTAAAGGAACAAACCTTCCATCTTTTTGCTGTAAATTCCGCAGTGCCAGCAGTATGACCTCTCTGTTGACCTTTGATAAATCATCACCAAGTATCAATAATGAGGCTAGAGCTGTATATGTCATAGCTATATGAGCACCATCATATGGAATTCCTTTCTCTTTATTCTGAAATATGTCATAATTAACCAATTCTAATACAAGCAAGCTTAGTAAACCAATTATGCTCTTTTTTATAAACAATGTCACTTTTTTAACTTATTTGCTTTATTCTAAAACAAGCTCATTCTAAAAACTAATTCTATGCACAATATAGCTGCCGCAATGAGTGTTACCTGGACAATTAATTCATGATTAAAGGACACTGATATATAAATGGTGTCACAGGCAACTTACAAATATTTTATTGCAAAACTAAATAACTTCTATGTAAGAATTTTAATAAAGTTATAAAAATGCAAAAGATCTGACCTTTTTAGAATCATAGGGATTTCCCATACTTGAACAGCCTCTAAAACCACAGTGATTAATGTTGGATTCTGAAATAGTAACATGTTTACTTTATCTCTCATTCTCTAAATTAAAGGTTGTGTCATTTAAATGTAGGTAAACTCAGCACAGAAAAACACTAAACATGTAGCAGAGCTCCAGATAGCGTGCGTATCAGCGTAAAATACGCATAGAAAATCTAAAATACGCATCACTTTCAAAATTCGTGCGTCACAGTTACGCACAACAAAATGAAAATACGCTAGTATGTCAAAATTTATGCGTAAAAGAATAGAAGTGTAAACATTTGATATAAGAAAGAAAATGTTTTGAGCATAAAATACAATATATTTCCATTTAATTGCATTGAAAACTAAAAATTCTGTTGTCAACAACGCATGTTAAAAACGAAAGTAGCAGGAAATACAGAAGGGAGGTAACTCACGTATCTATCAACCTGTGAAATTATTGATGAAATTTGTGCCAGATAATCATCGTAGGAGTTAACACAGTATTAAGTTTGTTTAGGCATTTATTGACATAAGTTTAATTTGTTTATAAAAAATGCAAAATGCTTTTTTGACAGATTTTACCCCTTAAGTTTTTCAGAATTTGCATTTTACCCCTCACTCTAAATTTTGAGGGGTAAAAACCCCTTGGCCAAAAAAATTATCTGGAGCTCTGATGTAGTTGCCCTATATTGTTTGTAAAGGCTTAAAACTCTATGTTTTTATCAAATTATAATAATTGATTTGGGTCACTTTATTCATATAACAAGAGCCACCACAAGGGAGACAAGGGAAAGAACATTATGGTGAAGGGCCAAGTTCACATTAAAATTATATAACATGGTAGTTTTTGTTATAAATATTGTATTTATCAAAGTATGAATCAAATTTACGAATGAATAACAAATGTATCAAAATGTGTCTAAATCTTAAAAATACAAAGGTTTTGATCAATGTTTAAAGGTTTTTGGAAAACAACACTAATGACTGTAATAATACTTCAACTTTTTTCAAAATAAAATAAAGCAAACTGTATGTTACCATCATTATTAGGTAGGACTTGTAATGAATATATCCAGTCTATAATATCATTCTTCTCCTTCTCAAGTACATCTAATGCATTGAGCATATCTAGTCCAGATATTGCAAAAAATGCTATTGTCATCCTGAAAAAATATCAAACTATATCATTTCTCTACATCTTTTCTCTACATCATTTCTCTACACCTTTTCTCTACATCATTTCTCTACATATTTTCTCTACATCTCTTCTCTAAATCTTTTCTCTAAATCTCTTCTTTGTATCTTTTCTCTGTATCACATACGTTTTACTTCTACCAATTAACAGAATGTAATAAAATCTTTAATTTATAAGGAGACTTGAGTAAAATAAAAGTATGAAGTTTGACTTAGTGAAATAGAAAGCTCAATGAGAAAGGTTATGTTCTTTTGGTTGGGTTTAAAGTTGCACCAACACAGAAAAGGTCCTATAGCAACTTTACAGCTTTACTGGTGGTGGAAGACCTTGAAAAAATAAACAGCATTATCTACCACATTCAGTAAAATAATATATCAGTTGTTTTCAAATTAATTTCCTTGTAAATTCTGTACTTAACTCTCAATATAAGTAAAAGGCAATAATGAAATCAGTAGCACTAGTTTACGAACATTTTCACAAAATATAAATGGATGCAGGCGGATTATTTTTATGTTTGCCAGTTGTTAATTACAGTCAGGAAGCCACAGGGGGTTAAAATTTTATATTTTAATTGATCAAAATTATTGTTGATAATTGTTAGTTGGAAGGGGTACATAGAATCACCAATCAAAGGATTAGTTTTACTGTATATTACAATATGCTGTACGGGGATGATTGTTCATATTAGCGTTCCAGAATAGTTAATAATAACTTGACAATAATATAAAAACAAGAGCTGTCACAGGAGACAGCCAAGCTCAACTAATAAAATACTGGACGCGGTAAGGAGGACAAAACTATGAAAGAAAAATCAATTATGTATTATTATGTATTAAGTTATAGTAAAAAAATAACAATTGTTAACATAAATTCCAAGACCAAGGGAAATAATTCTAGAAATAGTCACGCTAGAGTAATGAACCTTGTCACACAACATGTGTGTTATGATAAGTAATATATATTTGAAGTTTGAAGTAGATACCTTAAAAAGTAAAGAAGTTATAATATTTCTTAAAGAAAATCCTAAGTTCAAAAAGAGATAAAGCTGTGAAAATTGCTTCAAGAGTTATGAACATTGTCACATAAAATGTAATTGATGATAAGGAATAAGTATTTGAAGTTTGAAGTAGATACCTTTAAAACTAAAAAAGATATAGTAAAAAATAACATTTTTCTAGTAAAAAAATCTAAGTTTATGGGGAGATAATTCTTGCAATATTGGTGCTAGAGTTATGAACCTTGTCACATAAGATATGGATGATGATAAGGTACATATATTTGAAGTATGAAGTTGATCCCTTTAGAAATAAATAAGTTACAGTAAAAAATAATATTTTTTAAGGAAAATTCTAAGTTCAAGGGGAGATAAATCTGAAAATATTGGTGCTAGAGTTATGAATCTTGTCACATAAGATGGGGATGATGATAAGGTACATATATATGAAGTATGAGGGTGATCCCTTAAGAAATAAAGAAGTTACAGTAAAAAATAGTATTTTTTAAGGAAAATTCTAAGTTCAAGGGGAGATAAATCTAAAAATATTGGTGCTAGAGTTATGAACCTTGTTACATAAGATGTGGTTGATGATAAGGAACATATATTTGAAGTTTGAAGTTGATACCTTAAGAAATGACAAAGTTATAGTAAAAAATATTTTACTGCACCAAAACTTTAATCTGAAATCTGGACGCCGACGCCGGGGCGAGTAGGACAGCTCTCCATATACTTCGTATAGTCGAGCTAAAAATGTAACATCTTTATCTACAAAGTAGATTATTTTAGAATTTTTTTTTCCGGGACATAAATCATCTCCAGGACGCCTCCGGGACAGACACCTTATTTTCGGGACTTTTCCGGATGTCTGGGACATTATGGCATGTATGATTTAAAACAAAGTGACTAAGTGTGACCTTGACCTTAAACTGTGGAAGGTCAAACCTGTGCTCTGAACATTGTCTCATTATGGTTAACATTTCTGCCAAGTAGTTTTTTCCTCCAACCGGTTCAAAACATACAGACCAGACAAAAAAAACCAGCTAACAGATTGGCAGATTGATGGACTATCAGGTATAACATTATCGTCGAAAAAATTTTGGGCAAATAATTATGGGCTATTAACTAGTACAAATTATTAAAATAACTTTCTTATAATTTAATTTAACTAGAACTGCCACTATCATGGCGTGAATACCCCCGCATACCACTTTGTCAGAATCAACAGTGGCCATTTAGAGGTCAAGGACAACCTCCCTGCCAAATCTGAGGTTACTAAGCCAGTGCATTGCTAAGTTATGTATTCTACATGCTTCAAATGTGAAAATGTCAAAATCAATACATTGCGGACAGGACATTCTTTAGCAATTGAGAAGAGAAGCTTTTTTTTGTCAAGGTCCCTGTGACCTTGACCTTTGACCCAGTGACCTCAAAATCAATAGGGGTCACCTTATAGTCATGATCAACATCCATACCAAATATGAAGACTGTGGGTCAAAGGAATCTTAAGTTAATGGGTAGACAAACTTTTTGAAGTCAAAGTCCCTATGACCTTGACCTTTGATCCAGTAACCTCAAAATCAAAAGGGGTCATCTACTAATCATGATCAGCATCCATGCCAAATATGACGACTGTAGGTCAAAGGAATCTTAAGTTATTGGGCAGACAAGGTTTTTGAAGTCAAGGCCCCTGTGACCTTGACCTTTGACCTGGTGACCTCAAAATCAATTGGGGTCATCTACTAATTATGACTAACCTCCATGCCAAATACGAAGACTGTAGGTCAAAGGAATCTTAAGTTATTGGGCGGACAAGCTTTTCGTAGTCAAGGCCCCTGTGACCTTGACCTTTGACCTAGTGACCTCAAAATCAATGGGGGTTATCTACTAATCATGACTAACCTCCATGCCAAATATGATGACTAAGGGTCAAAGGAATCTTAAGTTATTGGGCGGACAAGCTTTTCGTAGTCAAGGCCCCTGTGACCTTGACCTTTGACCTAGTGACCTCAAAATCAATGGGGGTCATCTACTAATCATGACTAACCTCCATGCCAAATATGAAGACTAAGGGTCAAAGGAATCTTAAGTTATTGGGCGGACAAGAAAAAAACCGACGGACGGACGGCCGGACGGACGGCCGGACAAGCTGATTCCAGTATACCCCCTTACAACTTTGTTGTGCGGGGGTATAACTAGAGCTACCGGGGTATTCGTGGACAACGGTTAAGGTTGTTGACATCAAACTGCTTGCCCCTCACCACTGTGAGTTTGAATTCCAACAGGAACTTTGGATTCTTTCATGTGAGGAACTATTCAGTTTGTTTATGGGACATCAGTGTTTTCTACTCAAATGCCGGTTTGTATCTGAAATAATCATTAATGCAACAATGGGCACCTGACATATTCTGTCATCAGTAAAATAGAGAAAATTTGAATCCCCAAAGAAAGCCCAACACGGCAAAATTGAAAATGTTGCAGGCTTGGTTTGATTGAACCTTTTGATGGACGGTACTGTCAAATGCAAACTACAGCCCACGCCCCCTAGCACGGGCTTAAGCAGAATTCAAAATTTAAACATGAAATGGTAAAATTTTGAATTTAGAAACATCTGCAGATGTGTTCATACCGCGGTTATCATGGAACCTTCAATGTGACACTTTCATGCCATTCCACCAAAAGCGGCGATGGTCCCCAAGTAATAGCGTGTGCCCTAAACGAGAAAACGCGGAACTAAATAAAATGGAATTTTGAAAGGGGATCAGAGGTTATGAAGGCTGCATATCACAGATAAGACATCAAAAGACAAAGTTAAAAGGCAGGCAGCATATCCAAAGGGTGATTCAACATTATTCAAGAAGGAATATTGGAACCACCCAACTAGAAAATGCCGAAAAGTTAAAACTAGAAATACCACAAGCACACCAATAATGTCGTGCTGAACGATCTTTAAGGGTCCGAAATATAATATCTCTGATTGCTGGAATGTCGCCAAATAAACAATGCCGGGTAGACTGGGTTTGTGCGACATAAAACCCAACCAAAAAATTTAAAGACAGACATCTATGAGAATTATGGTGGTTTCTTCGAACTACCGGTTCAGCGAACTAAATTTATGAAGAGGTGCGAAAGTGGTTTCGTCGAACTGATGTTATATAGTAATTAAAGGCAAAGTAGACGTGGTTCATATATATAGTGTTTTTATCATCAATATTTTGTTATAATTAAATTATGACGCAAATATCATTAATGAATATAATATTTTGTAGAAGTATGTTTATTATACTTATTTTGATAATGATTTTTTCGTTATTTGATAAATTATTTTTGAGTCAAGAATAAATTACAAAAAAACAAACAATATTATTTTGTTTGCAAAATTAATTGTTTAGTTAGGGCTTGGTGTACGAAATAAATCAATTGTTTATAATTGATGACAGAGAAAGTTAACACTTATCATATAACTTAATTTCAAGCTTTATTTTTTTCTGTGTATATATGTCGATGTTATTCTGATGAAAAGCATTTTTTATTCAGCTTTAACTACTTGTGTATATAGTTTGACATAGATTATAAATACAAACTTGTGTGAAATGTAATTTGTGTAAATGTTGACTCTTTAGGTTTTTTTCAGGTTGTACTTTTATATGTATATATATTTCTATGATGTTGTTTGTTCACTGAGATCTTTTGTATTGTGTTATGCTTTTATGTAAATATCATTATTATGCTAAAGAAAAGAATAAATAATAGGTTTAAATTTCCAACATCTTGTCTTTAATTGCATGAAAATGTGTGATAAACCACACATTTAGACCCGCGATAATTGACGTGCCCATTATACAATAGCTATTGTTCACTATATAAATTAAAATCACCGAAACCACTACCTGTTTTATTATACGGGGAAGTCAATGTCCGGGCTCGCGAAGCGGGCCTGGCCTTGGCTTGCCCGGCTATAGACTACACGTGTATATTTAAAAGAAAATCAAATGAAAAACAATTAAAAAATATATAGAATTCTATACCTATCAATTAAATTTTCAGTGTCACTTCTAGTTAGGCACCGCCATTTACAATGTAACTCAATGATAAAAGACGGAGTATTCCGATAACGGAACAAATCTCAACTTTTTCGGATAAATAATAAACGTGGAGTGTTCCGAGTGAAAACGGAAGCGGTGCATGAAATACCAAATGACACCTTTACAATGGAAAAAATGAAAGGATTTTTTAACGACTTCCCCATTCATAGGCTTTGCCTTATTTCATAATATGAAATTAGGCAAAGCCTATGAACGGGGAAGTTGTTAAAAATTCCTTTCATTCTTTCCGTTTTAAAAGTGTCATTCGGTATTATATGCACCGCTTCCATTTTCACACGGAACACTCGACGATTATCATTTATCCGAAAAGTTGAGATTTGTTCCGTTATCGGAATACCCCGCCTATTATCATTGACTTACATTGTAAATGGCGGCGCCCGACTAGAACTGACACTGAAAATTTCGTTGATAGGTATAGAATTCTATATATTTTTTAATTGTTTTTTATTTCATTTTCTTTTAAATATACACGTGAAGTCTATAGCCGGGCAAGCCAAAACCCGCTTCGCGAGCCCGGTCTTTGACTTCCCCGTATTATAAGATCAGTTCGACGAACTGGTAGTTCGACAAAACCACTCCCACCCCATAGATCTATGAAATATCAGGTTATAAAATTGGTCTGTCTTGCAGTCGAAATATTGAGACTAGGCTTGCCCAAGCTTAGGCTTTTGTTCTTTAAGACTGTGAAGGTCAATTTGGCTATACCTTCTTTGATCTGATTAACTTGTGTCATAATTGTGAAATTTTCCAAGTCCTATCTAAAACTTTACCTTTACCTTCTCCTTCTTCTGAGCATTTAAGCCAAGATGGCTTGTAAGCTCCTCCTATACAGTATTATCAAGTTAACTTCAGTAAATGTCACTTGTATTAAATCTTTGACTTTGCCAGCTCCGGTCGAGTAAAGTTTTAAATGTCAAAACACTTTCACTGAGAACAATGTTTTCATCTAGGTTATTCCACTGGTCAATGCATCTAATAGGAAATGAATTTTTCCTTAGTGTTTTATTCACACTTGGTTTAAATAGTTGGAATATATGTCCACGTGTACAGTTATCATTGAACACAAAAAATTTATCCGGGTCAACATTATCAAACCCATTAATTATTTTATAAATTTGAATGAGGTCAAATCGTTGTCTACGATATAAAAGTGTTGGCAAATTAAGCCTAACAAGTCTTTGTTCATAGGACAAACCTTTCAATGAAATAATGGAATAATTCTAGTTGCCCTTCTTTGAATATTTTCAATCAATTGAATGTTTTTCTTTGTAGATGGAAAATAAACAGAAGATCCATAGTCAACAATTGATCTTATCAGACTTTTGTAGACAGTCAAGAACATAGGTATTGTCATGCAGGAAAAACTTCTCTTTATTAAACCCGTTAATTTCTTTGTACGGTTTACAGTATTTAAGACATGTTGATCAAATTTAAGATTATCTTGGAATGTGATTTAGTGGTCTAATGTCCTAGTCGCTATATACAAAAAAATATTATTTAGTTTTTTCTAGCGACATAATTTCATTTACCTGCTAGTATCTAAAGAAGAATATCGCCCAGGCAAAACCTGTAGACATCTCTGGAAGAATTTTATATGTTTTTGCCGGAGAAATTTGTCATAACTGGGCGCAGCCATTTTTGGTGTTTTGAAAAATAAATGTGTTGTGACGTTTACTCGATACACTTTTTACGACAATTTTGTTTACAGTGTCGGTAAGTCGATCCCACTTACGTTAAGTAATATTTGTTGTGGTGAATTAGTCGTGGAAAAAATGGATAATTTTTTGTAAAATCTACGAATAGTCGCACAAAAAATGAGTGAAAAATGATCAGTTTTATGTTTTTTCTTCAATAAATTCAATTTATTGTCATATGACAAATGACATAATGTAAGTGGAATTTGGTTTTCAGTACAAATAATTTGGGCAACTGGTACAGTACAGTATTTATATTGAAACTTGACTCATAATTATCCTGCACTGATATGTACACGGCCTATCATTAGATCGAGGCAGTCGTATTTTTCCAGGAAAGCTATTTTGAAACTTTACTTTTTTCTGCATCACACTTGTTCATACAGTTGCAAATTGTTTTGTCAATTTTATTTCTTTTCATCAAATATCCATAATTATAGCGACCTAAATGTAGCTGTGTGTGCACCCTGTAACATAAATATGAAGGGGACATGGTTATTTCCGATAAGCCTATTTTCATACTACTAATAGAAAAAGTTAAAGGAAGTGGCTAGCCGTACGGGCCCGTACGGCTAGCCAAAAGTTCTAGCCTTACGTGAGTCACGTACGACTAGCAAGGACACACTGTATCGGCTAGCCTTACAACATTTTCAAAATTAGATGGAAGTCCAAAATGCATATGTTATTTTATGACTCAAGCGAGGATTTTAACCAAGAAACAGCAATTGTCTTCGTATGTTTACTTTTTAGAGATTAATCGCCTTGTTGGCTACAGTAAAAAAAGTCAAATATCGATCTTTGTCATCTCAAGACGTTTAAAGGAAAAACATAAAATAGCGTTTGGTCGCAGTTAAATAACATCAATTGAAAAAGTTTACAAAATGTTAATATAATCGGTTTTTTGTTTCATTAAGTTTAATTTTCGACACCTTTAAAATGAAAAATTGTGGTTTGGCTCTGATAATTGCGTCATCGACAGTATAGAGGTTTGTCCATCATTAAGGAAATTTTGCATGTTCCGTGAAACGCATTTTAAAATTCTATTGTCAGTCCCTGGGTAGGCTTTAATTAAGGCTTATTTCTTGATTGTGCTTTTATGTTCGATATTTATCTACTGTATTTGAAAATTATACAATAATTTTTTGCTTTTCAAAGTTTTTTTTTTAATGTTTTTTTATTTATTCACTCGATCATTATTTTTTTCGATCCATGTGGCTTAATTGAACAAAAATTTCAAACCTTTTCCAAACAAAATAAAAAACAAATTCATAATCATGAGGCACAACATAACAGATGCATGTCCGACATTCATGTAAGTTTGAAAAGGTGCCGTACAACTAGACAATAGACAAAAAACAGTGTGAGTCCTGGCTAGTCGTACGTGACTCACATACAGCTAGAACATTTTGCCTAGCCCTACGTGCCCGTTACAGCTAGTCCACTTCCAAAGTTAAAAGGTCAAATTTCTGCTTCAACTATTTGATTTTTATTGTCTGGATGACATTGTTCACAACTAGGTTAAAAATCGCCAAATGTGATTAAAATGGGAGTTAAACCTACAGGAGGCGATGCTCTAACCTAACCTTGACATCACATAAGCCAAAACCAGCCTGCTATTTCTTTATACTTATTTTTTTTTCTTTTTTTTTTGCTAAATTCTCCAATCCTGTATACACGTAGTTTTGGGAATCGACAACTGCTTAAAATACTGTATTACATTGGATTGCTGTCATTATGTGTAGCATTGGGAATGCTCTTTCCTGTGTGACCTTTGAATAGTGCTCTTTGTCCTGTATGGCTTTGGTTTGAATTCCTACGTTTAAAAGAATAGCTTTTTAGGAATGCTCTACGTCCTGTTTTTAGCATTTTGAAATGTCTAGTTTCTGTATAACTTTGGAAATGCTTAGTTACAATGTAGTATAACATTTAATGCTGTAGTCTTGATTAATTTTGGTAAATGCCCATTTACAGCTTTTAGGAGTTCTCTAGTGCTACGTGTTTCAGGAATGCACTGGGTTTTTATTATTTACGGTTGAAAAATCTACTGTTTTAAAAAGACAGCAAGATG